TCTTTGTTCTTTCACTGTTATGTTACTTTGTTAATTCATTAATTTCAACAATTTTTGAATTAACGAGAACAATATCAAAGTCGTGAGATGACATTACAAATGAACTAAGAAAAAGAACTATGATAACATATTTGTCATTCTACATATTGTTATACGAAAAGGATAGTACAATCTTTTCATCAAAAGATTTACTCAAACTTTACGTAATTCCAACTAGCAATGATGATAATAATAACACTTACTAGAAGAAAGTAGTGTCATACATGAAATCTTCGAAATAAGAACTGAAAATGATATTCCCTGGCTTATGAGAAAAATTATCAAATTACTCTACGTAAACATAATGCCAATGCCCATACTGAATTCACCTTTACATGGCCAAAAAGGAAGGATATTTGAGTGGAAGAATTTTGTAACTCGAAGAGACGTATGGAGAAACATATAGTATGCGTGAAAACTATTACTCTTGAAGTATTAGTAGTAAACGATTCAGCTATATGTAACAAAAGAAAGATATAGTATTACAATTCAAGGAATCAGAAAGTAATACGAAAAGTAGAAAGAAGGACAACCTCTTTTGTCGTAAAAAGTTTAACATCCTGGGTTAACACTCTTATACGAAATATTGAGAACTTCTACCTGATTTAGTAATTTCTTCATGAAGAGACACTTAAGTTAGTCGCTAAGACACGAATTCATGACTATCGCTTACAATGAGAAGCCTGTTGTGATGGCTAAGTGAGATGAAGATAGAAGGATACGATACATCCAATACTGGTAATGTGACTATGTGGAATTCTATGCGTTACAGGAATAAGGCAAATTGAATGTAAGACCTTGAAGTAAACGGAATAACCCACTAGTTCACACGAGCAAGTTATAAGTATTAGGGAAACCGACCGGACAGAAGAACCGAGGGTCAGTGCGAACTGTCGCCAAAGAAATACCTTAAGAAAGCAACAATAATAACGAAGTCGCCGAAAAGGGAAGAACTTGATCCATTCAACTCTGGGACAGAGGACCTTACCATTCCCAAGACAAATCCGCCAGACGTACCACTTGGCATCCCAACGCAGAAGGCAACTGCAGGCGAATAGTGATATCACCACTGAGAAAACAGGTGGTGCGGAGCCGCATCCTGTGATATAGGTCACACTGGGATAATTGAAATACTGTGACATGCCATCACAAAGAGGAAACCAAGAAGGTCTACGAAATTACTTGATGAATACTATAAATAAAACACTATACTATCTTTAAACCATAAACATGAACGTATACCAAAAAGAAAACTACTATCACCTAGTCATTAAAAACTTATCATACTATATCAACCAACACGAACAAATCCTTAAAGAACTATTACCTCAATTAAAAATCAAACAACCAAATAATCACAAAATACATCGAAAAATTAACGACACCAAAAGAAAATTACTAAATAATGACATAACTATAGAACATTTACTCAAAGAAACAACTGAAATAGGATCATACCAAAACATTTTAAAACAACTGCAAAAGAAAATACACAAATATACACAATGACTAAACCAACTGAACTATCATTACCTGAACTACAACAACAACACAAAGAAATAACCAAATGGAAAAACACGTATGACAACCAAACAAGAATGATAATCTTAGAAGGAAATATAGACGTAGGAAAAACCACTCAACTTAATCTAATAAAGAAAGGACTGGAAAAACATGGATTAACTGTAAAAGTATTACACGAACCGATTGAACAATGACAAACATTAGAAGCATTTAACAAAGACCAAGAAAAATGGTGCTTTACACTACAAATGGAAATAGCCTGATCAAGAAATAACCAATTAAAAGAATTAGAACATGAACAAACACAATGAATATACTATAATTATGTAATAATGGAAAGATCGCTCTTATCAGGCGCATTTTTCTGGAAAAACATAATCGAAACCTATAAACAACCAGGAATAGAATCAACTATACTTTTGAAACAATGGAACGCTATAGAAAATTCACAAGACCATTACGGAATAAAGATCACAAGATTATTCTATGAAGCAATTGTATTCTATTATGAACCAAATATTGAATGCACGTGGGAAAGAATACAAGAACGAAATAGAAGTATAGAAAAACCTATGACCAAAGAATATATAACATAAATACATAAACAATACTCTGAAAATATACACGATGTATACACCAGACAAATAATTATCAAGGACACAAGTAATGACAAACCACACATAATAAATAAAAGAATGATTCAGAAACTCATAAAAATGTACCAAGAAACACCAAATTACGATACACAGACACAATCATGAACTATGACACTAGTATTACTGAAAAAACAGATGAAACAACTAGTGAAGAATCTGGCACTGAAACAAAGAAACCATGAAATAAACGACAAAATAATACTGTTCTCGTTAATTCAAAAATTGTTGAAATTAATGAATTAACAAAGTAACATAACAGTGAAAGAACAAAGAC